GTTGAAGGATTCTTTTATAGTGCTTCCCAAAGTTATCCACTAGATAACTGTAATGTTAGAAATGGATAAAATCTCCCATTCCATATTTGTTAACATTTCCCATTTTATTCTTTCTTTCATTTTGGGGACAAGCAATGTATGTATAGATATATACATAAATTAACTATAATGCACTTTTAAAAATAATATTATAAAGTTAATTTTTATATTTTATATGCTTAAATTCTTTCTACTAATGGTAATAATTCAAAACTACAATTTTCAAAGGTAGACTTAGCTTAAAGGAAGTCATCTATGGAATTGAGTGCATTCTTTTTATCAATATATTTTTTTATCTTCAAGCTGTAAGCAATTTAAAAAAATAAAAAGTATAATTTTTAGCTCCAAAAACATATCAACAACTTAAGGGAATAATGTTCCTCCTTGATATACCCACATCCATATTCCAACATCCCACATTTTGCTTCTTAACTACTTTACTAATTTAACTGAGATTTAAGAACTTCAGAGGAAAGATTGTTGCTTAATGTTTGGGTTGATTTTGTCTTTTCTTTTGTTCAATAAGTGAAGTCAATGGAGCAGTTTTGTAAATTATCTGGAAGGATAATGAATGATGACTTCAGATTAGTCAGTAAAGTTGTTCAGAAAGCTTTGTTCCAGGTTTTGTTCTCTGTTTCAATTAAAACCGGTTGCTACAATTAGATTAAATTGGTTTGTAGCATTCATTTGGATTAAAAAAATACTGAAAAAAAGGTGTGTCTTTCTCTTCTCCCTCAGAACATACCCAGGCTGGTGCTGGTTTTGCAGACCTTGTTGAGGTTTGCAAACTGCTGAACAATGACCACATAAGCAGAACAGTGGGTATTGTGCATCAGAACACCTGAATATTCTGGCTGGGTGTGACATTCCCTTTCTCCTGTCACTGGAGACTTCACCTGCCTTCCCTGACTTCTCCAATGCAATGGAGAGTGCCCCAGGACCCACCCTTGCTCGTTCCCCCAGAACCCCAGGATGCATCTCATCAAGTCCCAAGGACTCTATGGAGTCTATGTTCAGGCTTCTCAGATGGCCTTGAACTTGGTTTTCTCCTACAATGAAAAGCACTTTATTCCTCACCTTGAAGTTCAGGGACATGGGAAATGTGGGCAGCATGACTGCAGCAAAAACTGAGCAAAAAAAAAAAAAGTCAAATGTCAAAGAAACCCTGTCAGCCCTCCATGTGGATTATTCCTGAAGTATTGGGGGTGGGGGTGCTCATTTGTTTAAGTTCTCCTTTTCTAATCAATATACCTCTGGGAGCTATTTTTTTTTCCAGATTGCTTGCAATATTCTGCTGCAGTTGTGCCTTAGCTCTCCTGATCCCACTCCTATATCTCCAAGCACCATCCCTATATTCTCCCCTATGGATATGTATCCCTGCTTCCAGTGCCAGTACATTTCTTTCTTGCTCTCCAGTCAGACCAGAAGGGTCTTATTCTGCTTCTTTGGTCTCCTGCCTGATTTCTTACACATGAGAATCAAAGAGTTTTTGTGCTTCAAGGAAAAGATGCTTAAAGAGCTGCCAGCTCTCTTCTCTCCTCCTCCTTTATCCCCAAGGGCAGTCAGTTTCCAGGAGTTCTCATTCAGTAATGCCTTCAACAAGTGACAGTGCGCTCTCGTAGGAAATGCACTTTATTCATCTGGACCATATCCCTCGAGATGACAAACTGAAATACACAAAGGATTTCTTTTATTGTTCTGCCTCATGGTTATTCTACCAGTTTACTTTTATGAGAAAATGTTTTTGATAAAGAAATCATTTAGCACTCAAGCACAGCAGGAGTGTGGATATGGGAATGTGGGCAGGGGAGGCATGCAGGGGTGATGCCAGATGTGTAAAAAAATGCACTTTTGGCACTTGTGTTAGGTGAGGGCTCTCCCTGTCTGGCTGGGGTTATGTCTTCCTGCAGAGCTAAGAACTACACCAAGGACTTACACTAAGTTATTTCACCACTTCAAGGGGGGCAGATCCCTATGAACTCTTTCCAGTTGTCCATTTACTTCTTGGTGCTACGCCTGTTTTGTGTTTTCCTTTTTTCCTGTGATTGTTGTCCCTGCATTAGTTAAGAACTGCCAGTGTTTCCAAAGAACTACCACTATTTCACCATTGCCTCTGCTACAGAGACTTTAAGCCTGAAATAAATTCCAAATCCTAAAGGTTCATTGTAATAATTTCCCTCAAATCCCAGTAGAATATTCTTGATTTCAAGTTGCTTGCAGTAACAAAGGTTTTTATTCTTTCATTATGAGTTTGGTTCCCATTTTATACAAAAAGCAAGACGACGGACTTCCCTGTGCTTTGTGAGATTTCCCGCAGCGTTTCTGGTGTTTTTTACAGCCGGGAATAGTTGGCAGTGCCATTGGACACAACCCGGGCCTGGGGGGCCAGGGGTGGGCTGTTCCGGGCTCTGGGGCTGCTCTGGGCTCTGACCCGCCCCGGGGCGGCGCTGGGGGTGGGAGCGCTGCGGGTTCTGGAAGGTTCCGCGGGCGGCTCATGGAGCCAGGGATGGGCTGTTCTGGGCTCCGACCCGCCCCAGGGCGGCTCTGGGAGCCGGGAGTGCTGGGGGGTTCTGGAAGGTTCCGCGGGCAGCAGTGCGGCAGGGCGGCCCATGGAGCCGGGGATGGGCGGGTCTGGGCTCCGACCCGCCCCGGGGCGGCTCTGGGGGCGGGAGCGCTGCGTATTCTGGAAGGTTCCGCGTGGAGCGGGCGGCAGTGCGGCGTGCGGAGCCGCACAGCCCTGGAGAGCGAGGTTAGTGGGCTTGTTCCTACGGGAAGCAGCGTGGAGCTGTGGTAGGACAGAGGGAAATGGGGACTGGGAATTGGGAGTAAAGCGAAGAAGGTGTTTCTAAAGGCGCTGTTCGTCGCTCCGCTCCTCCCGGGTGAGCCGGGGTTAGGTGGAGCTCGGCTGGCAGAGGGATAAAGGGCTGTGTGTCCGGGAGTGTCTGCGCACCCCGGGATGGCTGCACAGGCTCCTTCTACCTTCCCTAGGTCTGTGTTAGTGCAGCAGGTGGGGCGAGAGGTTTAGTGATGTACAGCATTTTTACAGGTTAAATACTGTCTAGTGGTAGGTGTGATATTTTAGCAAGCGTTTGTTTCCCTCCTCGGTTCTTAACAAAGCAGGAATGTTACTTGGAGCGGGCTGGGAGAGCTGATCCTGTGTGTGGCTGTGTTTCCACCCTGCTACGTTCATCGGCCATTTAGTGGGTTTGCACTAATGAACCTGAGACTTCAGCTGAAGTTATTTATGGCCTTCGCGTGTTACTGCTGAAAGAAAAGTCTACTTTAATATCGAAGGCAGTGCTGATAATCTCTTGGTGCAGTATAACGGTGCAGGGTAAGAAACAAGTGCCTAACTCAGGAGCTTTGTTTGTATTAAAGGAGCTTGGGTGAAGCTTCTGCAATCGTTTCAGCTCTTCCATTGTCATGTTAAATGGGAATGGTCACTGCTGTCGCTTACAGCTTGTCGCCGTGTGTCACCTTAGGGTAGCGCTGTTGCTGCTGGATTCTGGCTTGTTCAGCAGTAGTTTTGGAAATGGAAGGACAATGTACTCATTTCCTTTTCTGAAATATTTAATTAGGCATCTGCTTTAATTGTAAATCCTTGTAAGTTGTAAGCTAGACCCTGCTGTGATAATACCACGATGTGATTCCACGATGTTTTGGTTTGTGCCAAAATGAATTGCCAGTTATTTGCTGGAAGTTTCATTATTCTGTTGTAACTTCTCGGTCTGGTATGTACTACTGCAGACAGATGTAGTGTGAAATGCTAATAAAAATCTGTGATATTAAACTTGTTTGCTAAGTTTTGGATTCCTCTTTTGTATTAGGCGGAGGGATTTTTTTAAAGTTGTAAATATTCTCTTCTGGTAAATATTCTCTTCTGGTGTTCCTGTTCATTTGATTGTGTAGGTAGGTTGTAAAAGCACTTGTCTGTGATCAGGCTATTTCTGCTGGCCTTTGAATGGAAGAAATGCAGCATGGACAGTAAATCCTAATTAGGCTTTAACATAGTCCCTCACTAAGAAAGCTGGTTTGAATGCTTTGAAATATGTAAATCATAAACAATAAATTGCTAAAACTAGTACTTCTGAGATGAATAGTAAAAATTTATAGGTTTGCTTTAGGTGTGTGATTTTCAAATTGGCTTTGAAAAAATGGTGGGGATCAGAATGGTTCATCAAATGTTTTCTTTTACAGTAGTGATAAGAGAGACACAGGAGATAAACATGGAAGTCATAGTATTAAAGGTATGCTGTTTGTTTTTTTTTAATCTAAAGGATTGATTTCTGTTTCCATGTGAATTTCTTGAGGTCACAATTACAAAAAAGATGTTGCCTGTGCATTTCCATTCACCAGCATTTCTTTGCACTTGTGGAGTCATATTTGGGTTATATGTACTTTGTCATTTTCTAAGGTCTTATTTTTATTGTTTTTATTGTGAAATGCGTGAGTTGGTGTGTGAATTAACACGGGCAGGCAGCCAGAAAAACCACAAAACCTCAGCTGAAATAACGAAAATATATTTAACTGGAGGATCTGGGGCACACCCAGGTGGACACTGGCGGCCCATCCCAGCAGGATTCATCAGGAACCCTGTGAGCTCCCCTGTGCTTTTTATGATCTCTGAGCTTTGATCTTTCTCCCAACATGGAGCTCAGCATGTCCGTGCGAGTGCCTCCAGGCCTCTCCAAACACCTGTATTACCTCTACACAGAAATTCTGCTTCTCAAAACAGACAAGCAACAGCAGTAGGCATAGTAGATGGGATTTCCCACTCTAATATTCTCCAGGCCTGAGGACTTCATATGGAGGTGAAAACCTTTGTCTTTGCACTTTTTCACACTGTTTGGTTTAACCAACTTTTTAGATAATGCTGCTCCCTTGTAGACCCCCCCCCATGGTGTTTGTTGCAGTGCTCAAGAAAGTTGGAAGCTGAGAAGCCATTTCATGAACTAATGCTGTGAAGGTGAAAGATGTTTCACATATTAACACTCTGTATCTCAGTGTCAGTCACCATAATTTTGAAGATGCCCTGTGAAAATCAAGTTTTATTTTTACATCTGCTCAGATATTCTTAAAAGTCAGTAGTATGTGTTCTCTGCTCCTTGGCCCAGGCTGAGGATCCAAGTTGCTTTTGGATTGCTGTGAGAGAACCTGTGCCTGGTGTAGTCGGTGAAACTGTGTATGCAAACCTGAATGCTGAAATGGAACAGTTTTATACCTCTTACAAAGGTACAGATGAAGTAAAAGAAGAGGAGATTAAAAAAGGCCAGGTAAGATCATTGCTCTAGATAGAAATAATCTATTATTTGAATCTGTTTGGTGGTGAAGAATCAAGTATATGTTGGTTTGGTTTTTTTTGAATTTTACACACAAAACCAGATAAAGCATCTCTGTGAGTTGTGTTTTCTCATCTGTAAGCCTTCTTACTGTGAGCTATAAAGTTTGCATTTTGCAAAGAAAATGGAAGGCTGTATAATAAATACTGTGTCCTTGCCTTTGAGTGTAACTGGGGCTATGAGAAAGAAGCTGCTGTCTTGTTCTTTGTCTGTGCTCAGGTTTATGTGGTTTTCAGTGAGGAGCTGAAGTGCTGGTGCAGGGCTCTGGTGCAGTCAGTGTGGTGCCAGGCAGATGGTTACCAGTTCAGCTGTTTCCTCGTGGATTATGCCAAGTACTGCTATGTTCCATCAAAGAGGTGTGTGTTTGTTATTGTCATGTATTTGTTAATACGTCACATGTAATAAATTTGTAAGTAGATACAGCTGCTGTTAATATTTATTTAGTTAATGGTTTGGTTTAATTGAGGTGTAGGTTGTGTCCACAAGCAGCTGCTCACCACATGATACACTAAGTGCAAACCAGTCCTTATTTTGTGATAAAGATGCTTTCCATTTTAGATTTTGCTTTTTTAAAGATTTAGAATAGAAGTGTCAGTCTTTTGTGATTGAGATGTGTGATTGCTGGTTAAAACGTACCTTTATATTGTCTTCTTATTTAATAATTTGTTATATGCAAAAAAAAAAAAATGCTGTGGCCAATGAAGTTTGGGCATAAAAACCATCTGCAGAAGCAGGGTTTCACTTACTGCAACAGCTTTTGAGGTCTAAACAGAAATATAGAGAGGTTTACCCACTGCAGTTGAACAGCTTGTTTACTAAGAGCTGACAGTTTGTGTTGTCATGGTGTCAAAAAAAGGTGAGTTTTTCACAGGTTCTGAGTGCTTGATGAAATGAGTGTAAAACCTTGTGTTTTTAACATCTTGAAAAATATATTCTTGTGTTTCAGAACAAGCTAGTCCAGCTCTTAAAGTTTGTCTATTAAAATATGCAACTTGGAGCACAAGAAACTTCACCAAATTGGTTTTGGTAGTATTGCACAAAATTAGAACTTACTTAAAGTATTTTAAAATAAATAATGTTTTAAGTTGAGTGTTGATTTGTTGAAAAACAACTGTTGTTTTGTTGGAAACAACTTGATAATGGGTAAAATACCATGAAGATGCTTAGAAGATGAGTAGCAAGAAGACTTGAAACTGCAGTGGCAAAGGATCAGAAAGATTCCAGGTTACTGGGATGTGTATTGATGCTAAGTGAATAGAAGTGCAGTCCTGTTCACCAGTTGGTCCTGATGGCACCTCTTAGAGTAAGACAGTGGTATCAAGGTGGGAGCCAGTGGGATTCAAACTCCTGGAAGAACTGTGTTGTTAAATTCAGGGTAACAGGAGGTGGTTTGTGAGACCAGTGACTTCTGGAGAAGAAATTCTGCCCTGTAAAATGAGATAATTTCCACTTTGTTTTGCAGCATTCGAGTTTTACCAGGAGCATTTGCAAAGATCCCACACAGAGCAAAGAAGTGTCGACTGCACTGCACAAAGCCACTGACACTGCATATTGACTACTGTGAAAACACTGCCAAAATAGGGTAAGGAGAGCTAGGAAATACCTTCTGTTTGTGCATTTCTGAAGTGTGAGGGTTCAGTGGAGAATTTTTTAGCAGGGATTATATTTCAAGGGGAAACCCACAGTATTCTCATAGTAAGTGTAGAACACAGAACTGTACCAGCTACAAAGAGAAAAATCAGCTCTCTTCCAGCGGAGAGGACAAAGCTCCCCAGGGTACTGGTGGAGTCACCAACCCTGGAGGGATTTAAAAGGTGTATGGATGTGGCACTAAGGGACATTGTTGAGTGGTGCTGAGTTAGTGATCCTGGGGTTTTTTCCCAACCTAAATGATTCTGTGATTTCTTCATATCTTATATTTGGTGCACTATGATACCTTGACAAAATGTCTTTTAATTTTGATCAATTCATAATACTGGTGAACTGGAACAATATTACCAAACTAAAGTGATGTGCTGAGTAATCAGATTCTGCTGATTTGTGTAGCTGTGCACTTCATAAGAATTTTCATGATTTAGAGCTTTGTGCTAATACAGAATTTTTTTTTAATTACTATTTTCATGTTTGATAATCTGGAAAAACTGGTTGTGTTTATTTTCCTAGACCAGCCAAAAGATGGGATACTGCTGCCATTCAGCATTTTCGAAAGCTTCTTGAAGGTAAATAGCACTTCAGTTTTGGGAAAAATCAGTTGTTAGGAAAATACAGTGCTGGTGTACTAGTCCATTATACTTGAGTATACTTGATTATATTTACAAATGGTGTTTGTTAAAAACAGTAAGAAAGGAGCTGCTTAAGTATGGTGTGACTAAGGCACAAGTACTTGTGGAGCTGTATTTTGGGTATTCTGGGCTTCCATGCTGCATGAATTTTGGTACTTAAATTGTGTTTAGGCTAGATTAGGCTGACTGAGGGAGCATTCATGTCACATTGGTTTTGAAGATTGGAACCATTTTGTGTATTAAGCATGAGACTGAATGTGCATCACAGCTGTCTTGCATGTGCAGAGGTGCTTCAGGACTTGGATTAGGTGTGTTTGCCCACATGAAGTGTAACAAAGCTGTACAGATGTGCAAATACAACTTCTTTCAAGAAAAGGAGATGTCACCCTTGGAAAGCATGTGCTGGTGCCCCAGACTGACAGAGCCCAAGAGCAAACCAAGACTTTCAGTGTAGAACTAAGAGTGGTTTGTCTCAAGAGGTTGTTCATCTGTTTCAGCTCTCAATCCTCCTCCAAAGACTAAGGATGAGTTCCTTTTTGGAGCTTTTAAGTTTTTATTGTTAAATTCCTCATTTCACTTAGGTGCAATAACAAGTGTTATACATTTTTAATTGTGATGCCTGATTTTGTCTGTGTCAGTCCAAGTGAAGAATGCTGACAGTGTGATAGGGGTTTAATCTTTTTTCTTGTGTTTGTTACTGCATTTAGAGGCTACCGAGGTTAAAGCCACAATACAGACAGTAGAAGATAAAGTGTTAGAGGTGTTCCTTTTTGTGACTATAAAAGATGAAAAGGTAAGATACTTTTATATTGCCAACACTATTAGTGTGTAGTTTGCTATTAGTTCAAGACTGGAAAGCTTGGCTTGTGTGTTTTTTTCAGATACAGTAGAAGCTAAATCATTAATTTGTTAGAGGTTTTCATTACATGCTGTTCATTGTAAGTCTCTGGAGAAATTCCAAGAGGCAGAACTTCTATTTTTCTCTTCATTAACCTTTTTTCTTTTTCACTATTGACAAGCAAGTAAAGTCCAGCCAGTATTTAAGTGGATAACTATATGCGTTATTTGGTGTACATCTTGTGGTATCATGTTTGAAGATATTTCAATAAGGCAGCTGCATAATACTGTAAAAATAACTAAAATTTCACACTCTTGCATACAGAGGAGTCCTCCAGGAGCTGGAAAAATTACCAAGTCCAGTTCCACTTGCCAAAATGTGTCACTTGTGTGAAGTCTCTGCTGTAGGTACTGCCAGAGTTACACAGCTGTATAGTCGATAGAAGTTGTTTTAGGCCTAATACTGCCTTTTTTTTCTGCCAGATTTTGATGTATGCTGAATCTAAAAGAAACAGAAGCTTCACTGGATCAGAGGGTTCTTTCAGGGCTCATAGAAACAGCTAATTCAGTACATAATTTTGGCCTGAAATCTGGAGCTCAGTAATTAACACCTGTTGAAAGAACATACATGAAAATAGCACTTTGCTTTTTTTTAGACCTAGTATTTGACAGAAAGCATTCACTGGTATTTCTTATATCTGGGGTTCTGTTTAGTTGGATTTTTTTGGGGGTTTTTTATCATATTTAAAAGTACTGCTTTTGTTTAAATCTTCACATAAATTTTAAACAAATATGTGTTGGTGTAGCTTACTGCTTGTTGACACTGAATAAAAAAGATCTTGTTTGGGTTTTTTTATAGATCTGTGTTAATGATGATCTGGTTGCCAAGCACTTTGCTCATTACAAGGAAGATGAAGGGACTGCAGGGAGTTCCTCAGATGTTTCTGATGATGAACTGTCCTTAAATGCTGAGGGTGTTCCAGTGGAGTTTGTTGGTCCTACGTTTCTTGCCAGGCCAAAACTGCCCTTTGGGGAGGAGGTGTCACCACATCTTGGGCCAGGTGGGACCCACGGTTGGGGGGACAGTCCTACATGCAGCACTTGGTGTGTTTATTTGCATGTGGGGAATGGGAATGTCCTGTCTTGGGTTGGATCCCAGTGGCTGGGACATGTGTGTCCATCTCTGGCTTTTTATGTGTTCAGATAATCAGAAATGGTTATTTCCATTTTATTTACCTTTTTAGGTCTTGCTGGCTGTAATTCTGTTCCTAAAAAGCCATCCCAAACATTACACACAGATCTAAATGACAGTACAGTGCCTGTAAGTATTACATTTTGTAATGAATTGTGAAATGCAAGCCAATATAAACATACATAGGCCACATTAGAAATGGTGTAGTCACCCAGCTTGTTGTTTTTAGATGGTTTCCTGAAGCTTGTTTCATCAACATTGTTGCCTTAATCAAAGCAACTTTGAATTTGGAAAAGAATGCTGCAAAATATTTGGAGAATCCCACATGAGAAAAACTCTTTCAACTTTGTGTTTTAAATATTACTTTTGAACAGTATTTTAGTGCTTAAAATGTGTTTCCTTCCTAGGTGGTCAGCACGGTGCCAGATTTGCCTTCCAAGGAAGATAAAGCAGTTCAGACAGAGAGGTGTGGTGCAGTTTGTTAAATATTCAGAATGATTCTGTCATCAGACATTTGGGAGCTGTTGTGTGTTTGCAGTTACTGTTGTTGGGCCTCTAAAGGGCAGAGAGGGAAAGGGAATCTCCATACATGTGCTTTTGGGGAAGGACTTACCCTGGAAAAATACCAGTTATTTCTAAACAGCAGCTTGACAACAAGGGTGTGGTGAGGAGGCATTATTCTGCACACTAAGTGTGTTAATTTGCTTTATTTTATTTTTGGTGTGATTTATAAAGTTTTTGGATTTAATGAAATAAGAGTGGGTCAGTTTGTGCAGTGCTTCCACTGTGCTGCAGGTGAGTTGATGCATATGAAGGAAATCTCAGGAATATTTCTTCTGTCAGTTTCTAGCTGATGCAAATGAGTTGTTCTATGTTTTGGAACTTTAAGAAGCCTTTTTTTTCTGCAGTTCAATCTATTTTTCTTCTAATGTCAGGGAATTTAATTTTGAAAAGATTCTGAAAGATTATTTTTACTAAACTTTGCTTTCCAGGGGGTGTGTTTTGATTTCTGCTTTTGTATTGAGGATTTTTCTCATTGGCATAGATATGTCAGAAATATTTGAAGTGAATTGCTTCATGACACTTGGGAAGTAGTGGTGGTGTTTATAAATGATGTTTTTCTTTTGAATTTATGTTGTTTTTAATATCTCTTGTTTCTCAGGATTCCACAGTTCTTGAATTCCAGTTCCCTTCAGACACATACAGTTGAAGATGAACAACAGGTATTTCAAACATTAACTTTTATTTAATTTGTCTTGTGCTGCAAACATGTTGGTTTTGGTAGCATTGGGTGTTTGTGGGAGGAGGTCAGGGGCTGACTGCTCCTGCATTGGCCTCTGCAGGCCAGAGCTGAGCCAGCCGAGTTGGGGATGCCTCCCTGCATTTGAGAAAGGGCAAAAACACAGGGAGCAGAACAAAAAAGTGTGAGAAACCGTCAATGCCAGGGTCAGAGGAGTAGAGGGAGCTCCATGCAGGTGTTTCTGAAGGGATTGCAGTCTGTGGAGGGACCTGCTTTGGAGCAGAGAAGAGTGAGGGAACGATGGGGATAAGCTGCCATCTGCACTGTGACTGCTGCCCCTGCCTCGGGCTGCTCCTGTGGGACCGAGTGCCAGCTGTACACAGGGTATCCACTGCATCTCTTGAGGGGTTTAAGACATTTAAGACCATCTTTCTTCCTTTATAAAATAGCAATAGCAAGTTTTTATCTCGCCCTTGGTCTGTGTAACCTAGCAGTATGTACAAAGCCTGTTTAAATTAAATTTAGAATTTGATTCATTTACATTAAAATGCCTTTTTTTTTTAAATACAGTGAGTGCTTCTGAGTTTTGTGTAAGCTAAACCTCTTTTGGTAAGTATTGCCATTATCATCTATTTGTCTCATGGTTTCAGAGTTTACAAGATGTTGGGAAAGAAAAAAGCTTTGTGTTCCTGAGCAAGAAAATTGAACCATCATCAGTTTTGGAAGCAGCACCACTTTCTGATGGTCTGAAAAAGGTAGAGGTGATGATACTACATTGATTATCTTTTCAAGACAAGTGTCATACCTCAAATTACCATAGAAAATACTACAGTAATACCTCAGTTTGATAGAGTAATGTGCAAGGTTCATATGGTTGAATAAATGAAGCTTTGGAGAAATGCTGTAAGAATTTCACACATTTTTTCTGATACATTAGCCACTTCTACAAATGGATTTAAATTTTAAAACAGTAATGTAACAGCTGAGCCCAGAAGATGGTTTTTCATATTACCTGTCAAGGACATTTCTTATGTAATGGGTCAAAAGCTTTTAAATCACTTGTTAAACTTTGTCTTGTTTTGTTGTTGTTCAAGCACACTAATTTAGTGTGAAATTCTTGATTTCTGTTTCTGTAGGAACTTGCTTGTAACAAGTTTTCAGGCCCTACCTTCACCCAGTCCTACTGTTGGCCAGCAGCAGCTGGGGGATGTGATGTCGTTGCCATCTCCCATCAGGGAAATGATCCCTTGTTATATATTCCACCAGTTCTTACACTGCTGCAGGAAAATCACTACCAAGCCTTGCCAAACATGAGTGGGGTATGTATATATTGGACCAGAGAACCTGTTACTAGTCTGAATATTTGGAATGTATACATTAATGTCCTCTTAGTGTATCTTCATGATGCCTGCCAGTTTCTGTAAGGCCTCTGCTTAGAGGCCTTGGGTGGACTCTGTAAATGGGGCAAGTCCCAAACTTACTTTTAAAGCAATCCCCACCAAGTGGTTCATGCCCTGGCACTTAAATACACAATGGAGCTTTGTTTCTGCATGAGTAGTATGTACTTATTAAACTAAAATTGGTATTAGCTGTTTCAAATACTACAATGCATTTTCTAGCTTCTGTTAGATCTGAGGTTGTAAGGGACCTCTGAAAATGGCCCAGTACAACCCTAGTAAGACAAGATTCTTAAGGTTCTGTATTTCTGTCTAACAAAAGTTGTCAATTTTTGTACCTGTGTATATAGCCACTAGCACTGGTTTTATGTCCTGGATGGAAGAAGGCACAGCTTGTTTTTGACCTGCTGAAAACGTACAGGAAGGGCTGCAGACACCTTCATCCAGTGCTGATAACCCTCGGGCAGAACAAGGAAGCAGCCAGCCAAATGGAAATCCGAGGCTGTAAGAACACTTTGTCATCATCTTTGTTATGCCTGAAGGCAGTGTGGGCTGCCTTAATTGCAGGAGCTTGTGAAGGAACAATTTCTCCTTCTCAGGTTCTCGATTTACTTGTTTAAATGGTGGTTTACAATTTGCTGTTACACAAAGTACTGAGCATTTATTGTGTCTAACTCAGTAGCATGCGGAGGGTGCTCCACAGAGAAGCAGCATAGAAATAATGAAAAAGCTGTTGGGAGACTTGCCCTGCTTAGATATATTGTACTTAGATATATATACTTAAAATATTTAGGTGGGTTCTGGTTTGGTGCCTTTGTTTAATACCTGCATTTTCAAAAGGGGCTTTTGTTGTACCAAGAGAATAAGAACTGTGGATAGAACTATGAAGAATTGTGTAAAACCCCATTTCAGTAGTTGGTATTTTTTCATCCATTGTTCAGCTTGAGCCTGGTGGGTGAATTCAGGCCTGTAAGCAGCAGAGCTGTTGGTGTAATTGCACCAGTGGAGGTTTGTGTGGTTTTATTTCTGTGTGTAGATAGGTACACATGCACACACCTCTTATAAATTCCTCAGCTACAGTGTGTGCTTTATTCTACTGTTGAAACTGAACTTCCCTGAAATTGCTCTTGCATATATTTATAAATATTTCCTTTCTGGCTATTTGGTTCTGAAGCTTTTACCTCTGCTTCCAGTACCTTACTGGAAAATGAGATGCCATCCTGCTTTGTAAACTTGCTAACCTTCAGACATTTCACTGGATTTCAAAATATCAGAGCCTCACCCACTCATGTCTTGGAAAACTTGCAGGAGTAGAAAAATACGAACTCCCCAGTTTTGAGATGATGAATCTGAAATACAAATGTGACCATTTTTAATAAAGCTGCCATGTCCTTTGTTGTCACAGTAATACTCTTCCAAGGGGTAAGTTAATAGTAAGTCTTTCCCTCCACCTTGTAGGTGAAGTGGTAGTGACTACACCATACAACCTCCTGAGACTGCTGGAACACAACACTGGGTTCTTGTGTAGGCTTTGCCATCTTGTTCTTGACGAGATCGAGGTGCTGTTTTCTGACACTTCTGAACAGGTAAATGCCTTACACAGCCCCTTGGCAAAATGCTGTTCCAGTTGTGCATGAGTCTGGAACAGTTGCACACACTGAGGAAGAAAACCCTGGAAGTGGGTTTATTGTGAACCCCTTTTTTTATTTTACTTTTTATTTTTGTATTTGCAAATTACTGTGTTGGCAGGTCAGGCTTGTCTTCTAGTTACCACCTGGTTTTTGCTGAATGTCTCTGCCCTCTCAGATCTTTGTCTAGGCTTATTATATTAGAGATTTCAACAGATGTTTTTCCTGAGATTTCCATCTTCTCTGGACAGAATCGTGCGTGCACATGGATATGCTGTCCTGTTGCTTTCTTTTGCTTCAGAAGTCATGCAGAGAATAGGATAAAAGTGTACATACCAAACTCTTCTTTTGAGGGATGAGACTTGAGTTTGCTGTGGTAGTGGCTTTGTGACTGGGAAAAACAATGTTCTCAAACTCTGGGTTTTTTTCTGGTTTTGCTGGAATATTATGAGAGGAGAGAAAAAAAAAATCTCTTTCCTTCCTAGGTGTTTACCATACTGGATTTTTACAAGAAGGCCACTGCTCGGCCACGGGGAAATCTACCACATCAGATCATTGCTGTGGGAACTCAGTGGAATAAACATATCACACCCTTGATAAAGGAGTTCATGAATGATCCTCACATTGTGATAACTCTTATTGAGGAAGCTGCCATCTTTGGAAATGTGCAACAGGTAAAACTTCGGAAAATGTGTCACTGCTTGGATATGTGGCTGGTGCTGGTTTATTGGAAGCAGGTGGTGCTGCAGTGCTGCCTCCCAGTGTGAGCTGAAGTTAGAAATCATGTGCAGGTGAGTCACTGAACAAGCTGGAGGTCTCTTGCTTTCTTTTATAGGACTGAAATGCACACAGTCCCTTGACTATTTTGTGGTTAGTGCAAATGAGTCTAAATTTGAGATGTATTTGCAAACAGTACAGTTCTTGACCAGAATGTTTTTGCACTTGTTAGCTGTGGCTGACAGAACTACAAGTTAAGGAGTGCCAAGGCAGATCAAGTAAACCATTTGGTTTGCTGCTTTCACACAATACCAAACTCTTGACCTCACATTTCTAGAAGGCCTATTACGTATTCTTAGGTATCTTTTTAATTTAGTTTCCAGTCAATGTGGTATAGCCCTGAGGAATAACACAAAATGGTTTAAGTTTGATTTGAATTACAGCATGTCTCAGCATGGTATCATTTGTGGATTTTGAATGTTGGGAAATCTCCAAAAGTAGATAGCCATAACATGTAAGGAAACTGAAAACACAAAAGTTTTAGTGAGAAACCTTAATGATTGAGCAGAACTGAAAGTGTCAGTGTGTGTATGCATCAAGGTTAGGATTAGGAAGAATTGCACAGTAAAATATGCATGGGTTATATGAATTAGGAGCTCTGTTCTGTGTTTGCTTTTAGGTGGTGCAGCCCTGCATAAGCAGCAGCAGAACTGCTGAGTTACTCAAAATCTTGGATTTTACCCAGAGGAATCTTCAGAAAGTGCTGGTCTTCACTGACTCAGTAACTGAAGTAGAGATGATTCATAAGGTAAGAAAGTATTTAAACTTAGATAAGCAGGGTTTTTTTTAAAGTTGATAACAAATTAAAATATCTTGACTTCTGAGAATAAAGGTGGGATGTGAATTTGGAAGTTAATCATGCCTGCTAAAAGTAACCCCAGACTGACTGTCAGCAAATAGCTGACATAGATCATGTGATACTTAAAGGATTCATTTCTGATGTAAATATTGGTGCATCTGGAATGTTTATTCTTTGGTGATTGTTAATAGAAGCAAATCTGGTTTGGGATTGTAACTTTCTAACACATTTCCCTTGAATATTTGAGGGTTCAAGTGTTTCAAAACCAACCCTGCCACCACTTCAAAAAAAGTGCTTGTTAATGTTAAAATAGGATTGAATCTGTTAGTAGTGATTCTTGTTGGACAAGAATTCTTTGCAGACCAACTTCAAATCTTTTACATGGCCCATGAAAATATTTCAAGTTCACGTGATGAAGGGTACTTGTTCTGAGAGACTGAAACATGAATCTGCATGTTGTTAGATCATGAAATCAGAACACATTAAGGAGGGGAAAAGCTTGACATTTTTATTTTCTTAAATGTCTGTCTAATGTATTAAACATGAGAATGTGAGCTTGTTGTTTTCTTTTTATACAAGAAATTAATGAACCTTATGTCCATTAATGCATTCTTTTTCATATAAGCAACCTAAATTTCATTAGTTCTTTCATTGTATCTCTACAGTAAGATGTGCTAAATTCTAGTAAGAGATGCTGCCTCTTAGATTTGATTGGAGCAAGTACTGCAGCATTGCAGGAATGCATAACTTGTTACTTTGCCATGCAGACACTGAAGAGCAACTCAATAGTTTCCTTGAAAAAGCATAAAGAGAGCAAGTGTAATGCTGAGTGTGTCTTGGAGAGGTGGAGAAAAATGCACAGTTCTGGCACTCCTGCTGTGTTAGGTGAGGATTCTCTGTCTGGTTGGGATTGTATCTTAATGCAGAGCTGAGATCTGCACCAAGCACTTACACTGGGTGTAGATCTCACACTTCCACAGGAGCAGATCCCTGTGAACTCTTGCCACTTCTCTGTTTACTTCTTAATGCTACAGGGGCTTTGGGTTTTTTGGGGTTTTTTCCATTTCTCCTGTTATTACGTTCCCTGCTTAGTTTAAAGAACTACCAATGTTTTCAAAGATTTTCCAGTATTTTACAATTTTCTCTGCTACAGAGGAGATACCAAGTCTGAAATAATTTCCAAACTACAAAGATTTATTGTAATAATTTTCTGTAAGTTCCATTAGGGTTATTTTTCATTTTTTTGCACTAACAAAGGCCTTTATCCATTTTCAAACTCAATTTGTTCTTTATGCTACATAAAAACAAGAAGGTGGACTTAGTTCTGCACAGAGCTGTGAGAACTCCTGCAGTATTTCAGCTGTCTCCTGTCTTACTCCTGTGAATTACTGCGTGGTGCTCAATTCTCTGCATTCTGTGGTGCTGACAGAAAATGGAGAATTCTGTGAGCTTGGCATGAAATGCTGTGTCTGCCATATGCTGATGAGATTTATTGACTGGGGAAATAAAAACCCTTACAGGAATGTATTGGGGAAAAATCCATCTTCCAGCTGGGAGAAGGAAATCAGCTGTGGTGTATGTGATGTGATGCTTCCCATGTTTGAGTTATTAGAGTTACATATCTGTGTAAAACATGTGCTTAGTTTTAACAGATGACTGCCTGCCCTCCTTGGGAATCACAGATGCAGCTTGGGTGATCCATTTCAGTTTCCCATCTGCAGCAGTCTTCGGGCAGCGCCTGCAAAGCTTGAGTGACAACTTCTGCCCTGGCATAAAGGTTTGGGTGAACCTTGACTGGGTGGTGCTACTTTGGGTTATTACTGATGAATGCCTAAACGTTTTCCCAAAATATTTCTCATTATTTCTAGGATTCTGCTGTAGATCAGGAAGACATGAAGGCAAAGTCAGTCATTCTGCTGACAGAGAACAGTTCCTGTCATGCACCTGAGATTTTCTACTACTTAAAGCATGCAGAAGCTGAAATTCCAGAAGAGCTCTATGATTTGACTGCCAGGGTGCAGGAATCTGAGGAAGATGAGAAATTTTCAAGACCCCTGTGTGCTTCTCTGAAAACATTTGGGATTTGCAGGTAAGGAAGTGTCAGTGTTTTGTGCCCTCAGTGATGCTTGCCGCTGATTCCTTGGTGAATTTTCCTGTTGGATGCTTTTATCTAAAACAGGTTTTGCTGCTGATTTTTTTTCTGTTGCCTGTTGCAAGTCACTTAACGGTTGTTTACAACTGAAAGCAGAGAGCTTTTTTCTAGACTTGTGTTTTTTTTAAATGCAGGAACAGAACAGAGTGTCCAGATCGTCATCAAATTAATTTATCAGTAGACATGGCTCAGAATATTGCAGCTGAAATGATAGAAACACCTGAACGTGTGACAGTAAGTTTTCCTTGGCCTTTGGTACCAAGAGAAACAGGTCTTAAACAGCTACTTAGCATGTTACTTTTTTTATTCCATTAGCCTTTCTGCAGTAGGATTAATGTACTCTTCCTTGCATAAATCAGTGTGCCAGATGTTCTTTGTGTTGTGTATTATAGGCAAGTCTGAGTTTACCTCAGGTTTTTTTCCTGTTTTGAAGATTGACATTTTGTGGGAAGATGACTTGAGTTCTGTGTATTCATTCCTTTTATAATTTGAGACTGTATATCAAGATTAACAAAGATGGAAGTTTATAGAAACTTATATTTCTTGTAGAGGAAACACAGAGTAATCTGTGGGAGTGAGGGGAAGTTGAAGTGGAATGATTTTTTTTCTTAGCTGACATGTTTGTGCAAACTGGCTGAAAACTGAGCATTTTCTGGCCTTGGGGTTAAAGAATGTATTTTCATTTATAGTATGCCCGAGAAATGGGGAGCTCCTGTCTTGTAGGTAGAACATTTGAGTTATTTCCTTCAGAAATATCAGTGCTTCAGAAGATTTTTGCTGTAGGGTGCTGGTTTAGTTAGACTTCTTTTTCAGTAGTTCCACATCCATGAAACCTTCATGGCTACAGGGTTGACTTTGCTACAGTGATTGTTCATATCCCAGTAACAGTTTGTGTCTCCAGCTCCCTTTGAGCTTTATCTGAGGTGCTCTCACAGCAGCATTTTACACATTGATGTGCACAGCTGTGTGTTTGTAGGCTTTTATTTAAGTCCTTTTGGTGCACAAAAAGCAGTCAGTTCTCTCTGTAAGGCTGGGGAGTGTTCAGAGCAGAGGTGGAGCGGTGCAGAATGTGTGAGTGGTTAATAATAGCCTGGCAGATAATTGTCAGAACTCACTGGTGTTCACTGAAGGTGTTCCCTGAGGTGGAATATCATCACCTGACACCAACAGCTCCTGTTCCATACATTGCTGTCCTGCTGACTGAGCTATGGCCAGTTAGGATTGAGAATAATAACAACTCACTGTTTTCTGAACTATGTGTGTACAACATCTGTCACCTTTTGGGGCTGCAAAGAGGTATGTGATCTGCATATAAAGACTTAAATTACTTAAATTTCATTGCTTTGAGAAATCACCCACCCCTCCTTTTTGCTGTTGTGTTTGATCCTTTCAGATCCTGCCTCTCTTCATTGTACATGCAACAAAGTACTTTGGTCGAATAGTCAGGAAACAAAAGGACCAATATGCAGCTGTTGCTAAAGACATGAATGATTACTTCAGGGTACCAGGACACAGGATTTCTGTGAATGCTGTGGAGAAGTCAGTGTTCTATGGGTTACGTGAGGGAGCTGTTTGCCACAGGTAGAATTTTGTTGGCTTTTTACTTGATTCATGTGCACGTATTTATGCAAAGATTTTTTAAAAATTGACTGTTGGGTAAAGAAAAAGTCCCCAAAAGCAGCAAAAAAACCTCTGCTATGCCAATAATGCTTTTAGAAAGCTCTTGCCTACTCTGTACTCATGAATGGCTAACAAGATGGTTCCCCACACATGCACTTGGTTACAGAAGTGGGCTGGGGGAATATCAGTTTTAAAATGAGAGGAGTATTAAAAAATATCCTGCACACCTGGTTACCTGAATAATAATTCTCTGTTTCTTTTCCTGCTATATGAAGGGTTCAGGTGGTAGAGACTCCAGCAAAAGATGAAGAAAATGCCTGTAAGGTCACAATTAAATACATAGATGAAGGCAGGACAAGTCGAGTGAATAGTGATCAGCTGCTTCACTTGCCTGTGAAGTTTCAGAGTCTGCCACCTCAGGCTGTGGAAATTATAGTTTGTAGAGTAAAACCCATAGATAATGAAGTCGAATGGAATCCAAAGGTAATAAGCTGGTTTTGCATGGTATTTCCTTTACATTCTTTACCTTCTCTTTCTGTTTTTTTACAGAAAACAGTTACAAACTGTAAGCTTCGGTACCAAACAGCATTGCTTACTAGTATTGACACTAAATACCTGCAGTTGGGGCAGGTTCTGAGAAGGCAAATTTTCTTTTTTTTTTTTTTCTCTGAAATAATATGGGGGACTTAATGGGATTTTTTTTTTTTCTTCTGATTTAAATGTCTTTCTTTTAGACTAGATTCTCACTACTTCGGATTCTGGGAGAGGAACAGGGGATGTGTAGCCTTTCTGAATTGATATGTGTTTGAGTGATCTTTCATTATCCTTGAAGGCTTGTACTGTTCTAACTTAGAGTTAAGTTAAAGTGTGCCACTGTTTTAGTCAAAACGGTGTTGTTGAATACCCATTTCATTGTTAAGCTCAGAAGTTGTTGTTCCATTGTAATTAAAGTGACTTTTAAAGCTGTGTTGGTATCCATACATCTCAAGTGCTGCGATAACTTGTTTTTCCTAGGTGACTGAGCACATCAATCACAAAATTAAAGGAAAAGTTCATCATGCAAAAGTGGTGCAAACCTTGGGAAGGACAGTTTGGGTTGACCCAATGGTAGGTACAGAATGGCAGCACTGGGAAGTCTTAGTATATCTGCACATGGTCCCGGACTATTGCACAAAGGTAGTAAAAAAAGTGTATTTGGGAGGTACTGGTGTTCAGTAGTTTGTGTTGTGAAATCAGTTCTGCAGTTCGTTACATTCCACTGGAAGAATGAAACTTGGATCCTCCAAGATGGTTTGCTGATATCCAACAACTCTTGAAGTAGACTTAATTTATTTTGTTTACAAATTCTTAGTTCTACTCTTACAGCCCTTACACTACCTTGTAGTTGGTTTTAATCTACATTTTTCTGCAAATAAAAAAAGGTCAAAACTTTGCTCCTTCATTTCCTTGATCATAACAGGAAAAATGGCTGCTCTTGTTCTTGGAGTTTTCTTGTTTTACAGTTTCACATCCATTAGCATCAGCAGTCTCCTTGATTTTGTGGAGTGAGTCAAGTGAAAATTGAATTGGAAAGAGAAAATTATCTGGGAGTCATTCTTTTCAGTTTCCATGTAGTGTAGCTCAACCTTTCAGCAGTTTCTAGGCTTTGGGGTTTTATTGTGTCCCCCACCCCCTCCGCTGTTCTCAGGATGTCTGGCACTCAAAGTTCTTCAGTGCATGAGGTTTGTTATGGCTGTCCCATGGTCAGGGCTGGCACTGTTTACCTAATTGCCATCCTGGTTCTGTTAGGGCACACAGCCCTAACTGGAGCCATTATCACCGATTGAACATGGGGAGGTTCCTGTCTAAAAATCAGGAAATCCAAATTGCCTGCAGGCATAAGTCAGTAGGGCTACGTTTGAAATCTGACTAAAAGAGCAGCTTTGAGTTGGAGGGAGACCATTGAAGAGCTGTGCTTTCCCTTTATTTTGCTGTGTAATTCAAGGTTGGGGTTACCCATCTCCCCACGATGAGGATGTGGGTCAATGAGTACAACATTCGGTCTGAGATTCTGTCAACGGGTTTGGGAACTGACAATCCTGAACATGTAGGAGCAATTCTGAAGCTGTGCACGCAGATGCCAGTTGTGGATCATGGACAGAGCTTGGAGCCTTTGTAAGTATTAGCAAAATTCAGCATCTATTTTATTAAGAGAAAAACTGTATTTAACTGAATATGAATAATATTACTGACAGTGATGTTCATTTAAATGCAGGAACAGTTGTGTTTGCAATGTGTCTCCTTCCCATTAACTGCTCTTTAGCCCCATAACACCAAGGGAAAGAAAATTCTAATTCTAGGAAATACTAACCTAGAATTTGATGCAGTCAGGGAAGTTAGTAACTTTGCTAACTCTATGATTCCTAATTTACTAACTCTGTAGTTAGTACAGAGTTTGAATTTAGATTCTGTCACAATTTATGATGCTCAGTAGCTGGTTTGGATGCTTGCCAGTCAGTCAGTATCTTGTATCTCAGGCACAACCTTGTTTGTATTTATTTCTTTCTCCTGGGAAAGGAACTTTGGGATGCTCCATGTCATTGCCAAAGCATTTAATGCTAGGGACCAGACAACTTTACTGTGATGCTGTGTGCTGAAATGTGTGTAATGCAGCTGCTTGGATCATTTTTTTACAGACCTGCTGAGCCTGAGACTAGTGTTGAAAAATTGGGAACTGCAGTGCAGGCCTTGTTAATAAGGCAAAGATTAAAGTAGGGGAAGGCAAAGTAAGGTGAAGCTGACTGTCATTTGTGGGTTTTCTTTTAAAACTTCTTTGTCCTATGTTCAGAAGCACAGAAGAGGACACAGCTGATCTAGAGGAGGTGTCCAGTCCACCAATACAGAAAGATACTGCTGAAAGCTGTAACAGTCCTGTGACTCCTCCAAGCAGTAAGTCTTCAGTGCTTTCCACAAGTTTTCAAATGTGAATTCAAGTTAGGTGCTTGATACCAACCTAACAGTCACCCTGGCAGCTGCAAACTGCTCTGGGTACACAGAGCAGCACCATGTGGATGATATTTGTAGTCAGCCAGAGCAGTCAGGAGATGCTGAGAGTGACTCTTCCCACTCTGTGTGGCAGTCTGGGGAATGCTCTGTCCTTGAGACACTTGGAATTCTTTGGCTCTGAGTGGAACATGTGAGCAGGACATCTCTGCTGTAGAGGGGATGAGAGCTGTGCTGTCCAAGGCCACAGGATTGAAGGGAGTTGAAATAAAGTTGTTCTCAGGGTAATTTTTTTCCCTGAGACGGAGAATGGCAGAAAATGGTGCTCCCCCATTTTTTTCATCAAATCTCAAGGATGTGTTTACTTTTCTGTCAGTAGAGGTTTAGAAATGCTTAGGCATAGCAGGGGGACAGGATTACCTGCTAGCAGCTGACACATGGGTGGAAGGTAAGGAAGTTCTAGCAGATAAAAAGACTGAAGTGCTTATTGTAGAAGGTTTTTTTCCCCTGTTAATAGTCACACTAATGCCATGTTTTGAGCTGTGGTGTTGACACCACCATTAATCATTTCATTCCTGAAACTTCCCACTAATTCCCTGAATTGTTTCAGGTGTCAAATAATGTTTTGAAACTGGAGAAAACCTTTACCTGACCTGGAAAATAGCATGTTTGGTTAGGTTTTTTAAATCTTGTAACACCAACTAGAGTGTTTTTGATAATTAAATTTTTTAGTTGAATTATTTACTTCATGAAATCGTTCAGGATAGGAAGTACACAATATAAAAGACAAAGACAATAATTTGGTTACTAGCAAGTTATTTTTGTGATAGTATAGGGAAATTCTGGAAATACCTGGTTTTTGTAGTATAAGGAGGTATAAAAGATGTTTTTGGATGTCTTTTTAGATTATGTAATTCAAACAAAGGAAGCAGAAGACTCTACTGTGCATCAGCAGCAGGGGTAAGAAAACAGTGATCCATTCCCATGTTGGGCTGGTGTCAGGTCTGCATGGCCCAGGCCCCGTGGCTGAGTTGTGACTTCATAGACAAATTCTGGCTCTGTGTGAGACAGCTTGGCTAAACGTCAGTGCTTTTCTGCTTTGGAAAACACCTAGTAAATGAACTTTCTTTCAGCTGTCATCCACCAATCAAGTGGTTTCAAGATGATGTGAGTGTGACACTGAAGGTACAAATACTGAGAGCAACTGAGAGTAGATGTGAGTTCTGTAGAGAAAAGGTGACTTTCAGGTAGGTTTTAAGAAACTTTGGTATAATCAGAAAAATGTCTCTGTTTGGATTTAGTGTTTTTAAACTTACTGTATATTGCAGTGCTTATTCAGAAGGGAAACGTTACGTGGCTGACCTGGAGCTGTATCAGTCAGTAATTGCAGAGAAGTCCACATGTGTGGTTAAGGATACAGAGGCTGTGATTTTACTGGTAAAAGAGAAGAAAGGAACATGGTGCAAATTACTGAAGAACAAGGTGAAGTGAAAATTAATTTGAGAGTTACTGAATGTTCTGAGCATGTTTGCTGTGCATCAGAGCAGGTGTTTCAAACTCTGGTTTTGTCAACAGAATGTTCATGTGTCCTTGGATTTTGAATGCTGGCAAGAGTCTGAAGATGAAACGCCTTTTACAGTTGGTAAGGATTGTATGAATCTGTGTTTATAACACATAAAATGATCAGCATTCTCTCTTTGCATTGCCTTCATCTGAAATACTGATTTTTTCCAGCAGGTTGCTCAGATTCTCTGAAAACAGCTGAGGGGACCTCTAGAGCAAACTAGTTCTGTCAGCACAGACTAAGGGCACATAGAAGTGGTTCTGAGTGTTTGGTCCAGTCTGTAGTCAAAAGCATTTGGGGCTTGCTGGGTTGGGTCATTGAATAGTATTTATTCTGGAGCTCATTTTTTCCTGATTTATAAAAGTTAACACCTTGTTAATCACTTGCAGGTTCTGGAAAACTGAACTACCCTCCTGCAGGATCTGAAGAGTGGTTTGAGTCCTCGGAAGACAGCGATACAGAAAGTGATGAGTAACTCGGAGGAGAAATTCCTTTTCCCTCTGACAAGAATTGTATTATTGTGAATTAAACAGTTGATGTAATTGTTGTTAATGTAATTGCGGCTTGTTCATGTAATTGTTAATTAAAAATGTTAGTTGCAGTCAGGTTCTAACTGCGCCTAATTGCAACCTTCACCTGAGAAGAGGTACTGGCAAAGCAGTGCCTGGTGTAAAAACACTGAAGAGCTGATGTAATCTAATTTTGGTCTTGCTCTGCATTGTGATGACAACAGAAATTTCCTACTTGAAAAAACCAGCTGTGGAGCAGATGTTTGCTTTCTCTTGGTTCTGTTCTTCTTTGACTTATTAAATACCTAAATACAATGTAAGGTGTTTGGGGTCTTTATAGATTTTTTTTTTTTTTTTTTTGGGCTGGTAGATCAGTCGATCAGTCTCCAGTGTGTTATTTAAGGAGATGTAAGTTACCTCTAGTTTTTGTTCCAAAAAACAAGGCCTCTTCTGTGAAGTAAAAGCAGAAAGTGGGTTTAGCCCTACATGCATGCATGCAAAGCACCAGTCTATAAGGAACAGTGTAAAAAATAGCACCACTCTTGTCTAAGAACACTCATCTGGCCTCAAGGAATTTTTGATCAGCGTTTTCATGAGGAAGAGCTTTCCTGGGGCTTTGCATAAGTGCAGTTACATGTTGGAACATATGTGAGCTTTTAACATTGTTCTGCACTAAGGAATTCAGTGAAATAATTTTCCTGTGTTCAGAAGCCTTCCCTAATGAGGAAGTGATGGCAGTGGGAGGGAGTGAGAGGGTGGAGGAGCAGGTGAGGAAAGGGGTGTCACGCAGAGTCTGTCAAAAAAGGAAGAAAGTGGCTGACATTTCATAGGAGGGAGAGGTGAAAAAAAAAAGGTTTCTCATTTTTAGTATAAATGGATTTTAAAATAGCCCTTTATTCATTATTATATATATGGGTTTAAAATAGCTAACACGTCTTAGATTGATCAGGTTTGAAAGTACAAATACAACTTTTGTACATATACATTAACAAAAAATCTGCTTGAAATTGCAAGAAGAAAAGATCCCTCTGAGGTAATTAAAGAACCTTCGCAGCGATTTTGCGGGGTTAACGGCCTAAGCGTCGGGCGCCTCAAAGCGGGTGCTGCCGCCCTGTGGTGCTGTCCGGTACTGCAGCGGCGCCCGCCCCGTTGCTGCTGCCGAGCCGGGCGTGGTTCCGGGACCTGGAGCTCGGCCCTCTTCGGGGGTGCCCACCCCGGAGCACGGACCGCTTCGGGAGTGCCGGGCCTGGAGCACCGCCCGTCTGAGGGGTGCTGGCTTTGGACCACGGCCGCTTTGGGGGTGCTGGTCCTGGGGCGGAGCTCGGCACGGCCTTTGGGGCTCCAGCCGCCACGCAGTCCTCGGGCGGGGACCTCAGTCACCGCTGGGGCTGGCGCTAAACGGGTCCATGTGTCGCCGGCGCTCCCTGAGCCTCCCCTGCTCTAGCCCTGTCGCGACAGCGGCATGTCGCCACTCACACAGAGCTGCTGACCCCCAAGCTTACCAAGTATGGAGAACTTATTTGCGTGCAAGGTCCTGTGGCACACTTTCATGTCATAGATAGCACACACCTTTCCTAGTGTCTACAAATAATTGGATGGATATTATGGGCGTTAACGTCTTTGAAATGGGTCTTAATGTCTCCACTGACTTTGGGCAGCAGGTTTGTTATCGGGCCGTGGGCTCCTGAGGTAGATAAGGGGGTCTCATAAGCCTGAACTTCTGAACTTCGGGGTAGAACAGTAGGTTCAAGGGGGAATATGGGGTAGGCAGTTCAGGAAGGCTGTACCTTCCTAGTATGTCGGCCAATAGGGAAGGGAGAAGCAGAGCAGCATGTGGCCGGGAGTTTGGGATAAAGGAAGGCGCTGTCCTTCGAAACCAGACAGAGGAAACTTCTTCATTTATTTGAAACAAGTTGAAGAAAAAGTCTGTTTCCTTTTTGGAGATAAACTTCTGGCATTTGTGGGTTTTCCTGACATCACCAAGCCCCAACCTTTTCAAGGTTCCCAGTTCCCTGCTTGGTACATCCCAGTCTCCCCTCTGAGAGCTCTCATTCCCCACAGCTGTCCCTGTGCCTGGCATCACCACGGTCCCTGCCAGCACACACAAGGCCTCCTGTCCTGACACAGCCCACAGGAGCCCAGGCTGGCCCTTGAAACACCAGCACTGTGCCAGGAGTGGGGAACTGCCTTGGGGTGGGCATTTACTAGAGGCAGAATCCTTAGAGCACCTTGCTCTGCAGTGCAAGAGACAAGCCATGACAGGGACCAGTCAGAGGAAAAAGGAGGAGGGTCTCTGTCTTGAAGTTCCACAAGGAAGGATTTACCCCAGGTGTAGAGAGCAGGATGAAAAAGCACTGAGAGCTATTGTGCAAGGACTTTTGTACAGATACAGTTTTATGAAGAGGGTGGATACTAACAGCAAACCAATAGGGAATCCTCAGAGGAGCACTGAGGGGATTACATCAAGTGTCTGGGACCACTTGGGGTAGTGGGTGAAGAGGATGGCTCACATGGGCCAATGGGGTCTCCAGGAACAGGGGAATTCTAAAGGGATATTGCAATCAGGGATTGGCCTGAGGTTAAAGTGGCAAAGGTGGTTTGGGAACAAAAGCGGCTGGGTTGCCTTGACAGGCAGGGAAAGACCTGGAACAAGGGGCGGGGAATGGGATAAGGGACAACTTTGAGGAAGGGTAAAACACAGGTGGGCCAACTCAGGGAGAACATGGGGCTACAACAGAACAAACCACTTAACAAGGAGTCAATAAAATACATTCAAGCTGGAGCTGTCCCAAACTGGGGGCACTGTGTGCACATAGATGGGCAGTGGCCATGTCACAGCAGCCATTGTGACATCATCACCCAAGGCAGTGTTGGAAGGATGTTGAGTGTCACTGTGACCTGCAGAGGTGACAGGGGGGCTGCCGAGGAAGGTGCTTGCCCGGGGCTGTTAGGGAGGAGGGCATTGCAGGGCTCTGAGGCCTCGCCCGTGTCCTGCTGCTCCCTCTGGCTGGGCAGAGGCTCTCCAGGCTCTCACCACCGCCCTGGCCATCGGCAATGGTGCGGCAGGACCCTGCCTGGGGCCGCTCCCCTTGCGCCAGGGCCGTGAGGAGGGAGAGCTGCTCCCACTTCGGGCCCATCCGGACCCGGCACGTCCTGCGGCAGGAGCGGCGGGACAGGAAGCCCTACAGCCGCCCCGAAATCCAGCCCCGGAGCAGCCGTGTGCAGGCTCTGGGGCTGGGCCCCTCTCACCCAGCTCAGTAAAGTCTTCTCATCCGCACTGGGTGACCCCATTGTCATTTGTCAGCCATCCTCCTCTGCCTTTCTCGAGGCCAATATTAGGGCCTGGCACCAGCGGATTCTCTCCCTCCCTGGGACTGACAGTGCCCTCCCTGTCCTGGCTGGGCTGGGAGCCTCTGAACACACAGCCTCAGCTGTGAGTTTGGCTTCACTACCCACTGACAACACAAAACGCTATCAAGTCTGAGGCTGGAGCAGTTTTGAGGCATGGCACAGCCTCAGCCTGCTGGGCAGTGCTGCCAGCTTTGGGGTGCTCCCTGCCCTGGGGAAATTGTCTGGTTCAGTGATGCCTTGTGGTTCTTCCTGGATGTGCAGGACTGTTGGTGGGTTTAAGATGTGTCCCTGCGCTTGGGGGTGTTTATGGGATTGGAGATTGCCAACAGGTTTTGGGGATGTGCCTGAGTGTGGGGGGTGCTGCCATTTAGGGGGGAAACTTCAGGGTTTGGGGGTGTTCCTCTGTGTGTCATGCATGCTGCTGGGTTTGGGGGTGCTGCTGGGTGTGGGGTGTGTCTGATTTGGGGGTTTGTTCCCAGATTTGTGTGATTCAGCCAAGGTCTAGGGGTTATTTCTGGTTTGGGGTGCTGCTGGGTTGGAAGCTGGTAGAAGCAGGCTGTGCCCCTGGAGAAGCAAAGCCTGTCCCTGCAGGAGCAGCAGCCAGTGCATCCTGTGAGGTTCTGGGCATGCTGTGCTCCCTGGATGGGGTTCCAGCAGCTCAGCTCCCCAGCCATCCCTGAGGAGATCTGGCCTGCTGTCCCTGAACTCACCTGCTCTGAGGTGAAATAGTGTCTCACTCCTGGAGTACCCTGGCCCTGGGCTAGTGCCCACCTCACTGTCTGCTCTGCCTCAGCAGATAATGGGGTGTTTCTGACCAGAGTTCAATGCCCTTAGACCCTTTGGAGTCTCAGTGCATCTCTCAGAGCCACAGCCCTGACCTTCCATCCTGCTGCTGCTTTGCTTCCCCAAGTACAGCTGAAGCTCAGGAGATTTTCTGCAGGGGAGCTCCTGTAACACCAGGCAAGGTCTCAGATATTTCCTGGGTTCACCTCAGTTCACCTTTCACTGTCAGCAAGCACTGAGTTGGCACAGCCTGGGCTCTTGGATGCTCTTGTGGCTTGTTTGTAATGATTTTATTTTTTTTTAACACTTTAGACACTTTGGAAACCCTCTTGCAGGAGTTATACATGGCAAAATTGTTTTGAGAATGTGGATCCCGAGGACTAGAAGCAGTCTGACAGCCCCCTGTCTCTGCCCTTTGTATTTCAATTCTTTAACAAACCATTTTTATCCATTTTGATTTTCAAAATCCCTTCAGCAGGTGCCCAACCTACAGTGCAGAATGCTTTCCTTTATGACACATTTCTCTTTGAAGATGGTAGTTTACACATGAAAATATTCTGGGAAAAAAACCCATACAACTTCATTTACAAACCCACCAAGTAATGAAGAAATCACAATAGAGAAATGTCATAATATTTGTTGTATATTATCAGAATTTCTCCCCTCCTCTCAAAGACCCTAATGCACTTAGGGTTACCAATTAACACAGCCAGACTTAAGATCGCTACAAGTTTTCATGTAACCATTTAGAAGAGCTCTCAGGGTTTATCTGACACCATTTCTGCTTGCTGTCTGCTTTCAAGAGTGCAGCTTGCAGTTGGGCAATAGTGTCACAGCAGCCTCAGCTCTATGTTCAGAGTTTGGCTTCACTACCCACTGACAACACAAAACCCTGTCAAGTCTCAGGCTGGAACTGTTTGAGACAAAATCAGGTAACATAGCACGGGATGTGCTTGTCAGCTCCATATCCTGGTGAATTGGTAGCATCCTAGTGAATTTTCTTTACTACTACAAAGAAAAACAACATTGCTGGTAAATTCTACAAAAATACTTCAGTGGAGTTTTTATTTTTCCACAGGCTAGCTGCTGCATTATGTCAAGGAAAACAAGACTTAGAGAAGTTAGTGCAGTATGGACTGCAGTAAACTTATTTTTAAATACTC